TGTTCATCTGTATACAGTCTGTGTTAGCATTAGCATCTGTATACAGTCTGTGTTAGCATTAGCATCTGTATACAGTCTGTGTTAGCATTAGCATCTGTATACAGTCTGTGTTAGCATTAGCATCTGTATACAGTCTGTGTTAGCATTAGCATCTGTATACAGTCTGTGTTAGCATTGTTCATCTGTATACAGTCTGTGTTAGCATTAGCATCTGTATACAGTCTGTGTTAGCATTAGCATCTGTATACAGTCTGTGTTAGCATTAGCATCTGTATACAGTCTGTGTTAGCATTAGCATCTGTATACAGTCTGTGTTAGCATTAGCATCTGTATACAGTCTGTGTTAGCATTGTTCATCTGTATACAGTCTGTGTTAGCATTAGCATCTGTATACAGTCTGTGTTAGCATTAGCATCTGTATACAGTCTGTGTTAGCATTAGCATCTGTACACAGTCTGTGTTAGCATTAGCATCTGTATACAGTCTGTGTTAGCATTAGCATCTGTATACAGTCTGTGTTAGCATTAGCATCTGTATACAGTCTGTGTTAGCATTAGCATCTGTATACAGTCTGTGTTAGCATTAGCATCTGTATACAGTCTGTGTTAGCATTAGCATCTGTATACAGTCTGTGTTAGCATTAGCATCTGTATACAGTCTGTGTTAGCATTAGCATCTGTATACAGTCTGTGTTAGCATTAGCATCTGTCTACAGTCTGTGTTAGCATTAGCATCTGTATACAGTCTGTGTTAGCATTAGCATCTGTATACAGTCTGTGTTAGCATTAGCATCTGTATACAGTCTGTGTTAGCATTAGCATCTGTATACAGTCTGTGTTAGCATTAGCATCTGTAATACAGTCTGTGTTAGCATTAGCATCTGTATACAGTCTGTGTTAGCATTAGCATCTGTATACAGTCTGTGTTAGCATTAGCATCTGTATACAGCCTGTGTTAGCATTAGCATCTGTATACAGTCTGTGTTAGCATTAGCATCTGTATACAGTCTGTGTTAGCATTAGCATCTGTATACAGTCTGTGTTAGCATTAGCATCTGTCTACAGTCTGTGTTAGCATTAGCATCTGTATACAGTCTGTGTTAGCATTAGCATCTGTATACAGTCTGTGTTAGCATTAGCATCTGTATACAGTCTGTGTTAGCATTAGCATCTGTATACAGTCTGTGTTAGCATTAGCATCTGTATACAGTCTGTGTTAGCATTAGCATCTGTCTACAGTCTGTGTTAGCATTAGCATCTGTATACAGTCTGTGTTAGCATTAGCATCTGTATACAGTCTGTGTTAGCATTAGCATCTGTATACAGTCTGTGTTAGCATTAGCATTCTGTATACAGTCTGTGTTAGCATTAGCATCTGTATACAGTCTGTGTTAGCATTAGCATCTGTATACAGTCTGTGTTAGCATTAGCATCTGTATACAGTCTGTGTTAGCATTAGCATCTGTATACAGTCTGTGTTAGCATTAGCATCTGTATACAGTCTGTGTTAGCATTAGCATCTGTATACAGTCTGTGTTAGCATTAGCATCTGTATACAGTCTGTGTTAGCATTAGCATCTGTATACAGTCTGTGTTAGCATTGTTCATCTGTATACAGTCTGTGTTAGCATTAGCATCTGTATACAGTCTGTGTTAGCATTAGCATCTGTCTACAGTCTGTGTTAGCATTAGCATCTGTACACAGTCTGTGTTAGCATTAGCATCTGTATACAGTCTGTGTTAGCATTAGCATCTGTATACAGTCTGTGTTAGCATTAGCATCTGTATACAGTCTGTGTTAGCATTAGCATCTGTATACAGTCTGTGTTAGCATTAGCATCTGTATACAGTCTGTGTTAGCATTAGCATCTGTATACAGTCTGTGTTAGCATTAGCATCTGTATACAGTCTGTGTTAGCATTAGCATCTGTATACAGTCTGTGTTAGCATTAGCATCTGTATACAGTCTGTGTTAGCATTAGCATCTGTATACAGTCTGTGTTAGCATTAGCATCTGTATACAGTCTGTGTTAGCATTAGCATCTGTATACAGTCTGTGTTAGCATCATCATCTGTCTACAGTCTGTGTTAGCATTAGCATCTGTATACAGTCTGTGTTAGCATTAGCATCTGTATACAGTCTGTGTTAGCATTAGCATCTGTATACAGTCTGTGTTAGCATTAGCATCTGTATACAGTCTGTGTTAGCATTAGCATCTGTATACAGTCTGTGTTAGCATTAGCATCTGTATACAGTCTGTGTTAGCATTAGCATCTGTATACAGTCTGTGTTAGCATTAGCATCTGTATACAGTCTGTGTTAGCATTAGCATCTGTATACAGTCTGTGTTAGCATTAGCATCTGTATACAGTCTGTGTTAGCATTAGCATCTGTATACAGTCTGTGTTAGCATTAGCATCTGTATACAGTCTGTGTTAGCATTAGCATCTGTATACAGTCTGTGTTAGCATTAGCATCTGTATAGTCTGTGTTAGCATTAGCATCTGTATACAGTCTGTGTTAGCATTAGCATCTGTATACAGTCTGTGTTAGCATTAGCATCTGTATACAGTCTGTGTTAGCATTAGCATCTGTCTACAGTCTGTGTTAGCATTAGCATCTGTATACAGTCTGTGTTAGCATTGTTCATCTGTATACAGTCTGTGTTAGCATTAGCATCTGTATACAGTCTGTGTTAGCATTAGCATCTGTATACAGTCTGTGTTAGCATTAGCATCTGTATACAGTCTGTGTTAGCATTAGCATCTGTATACAGTCTGTGTTAGCATTAGCATCTGTATACAGTCTGTGTT